ATTTCTCTATTTATGAAGTAATATAGATGCGAGTATATTCTTGAAATCGAGCAGAAAATGGACGTGAATTAAATTTAATTTCTTTAACCGTCGAAAATCTTAGTTGGCTTTTCTTATTTTGATTGAGATTCTTCACTGACTTTGAAATGCAATGATATAGAAGATCGATGAAAACGCCAAATAACATTTTGAGACAATAACATATGGATTATAGTGACATATTACTGATTGCATGTTTCAATCAAGTTTCAGTTGTACGGAAAGATTTGTTGTAAAAGTTATTAGAAGAGTACTTATTCAGTATTTTTTAAAATTTTCATTTGTTTATTTCTATCATGATTCAGTTAGTTTATATTTTTTAAGGTAAGCGTTTGGTAAAAAAATACAAAGATTTAGTAAAATATATTAATGTGAGACATCTAAACTTTTTTTTTTTCATTGAGTGTCGTATATTTTTTATTGTGAATGCCACAAGAATAACCTCCAAAACCGATTTCTTGTGGTCTAAGTTCATTAAAAAAAATTTAAGTTTCAGCCTATCCTAACATCATTTTCTGGCTCCGCCCTTGTTGGTATGGGTCAGGTGGGATGAATATGTATCCACCATTATAACCACACATCGCCATCACATCAACAAATCCAATTGACTGAGAGCATTGCGACACTATCCAAAATTGGATCCCACCGACTGTAGCTGCAACGCCATCAACCTTCTCGCAAACCACCAACACCATCAGCAGGCTACTCACGCAAGACAACACCGTGAACTACAAAATCTCCACACAGAGTGCGATAAGGAGACAACATCATCTCCAGATCGTGCAACAGTAGACCACAACGACGTCATCTGTGGTGCTCTCCGACGCTGACTTCTAGCTACGACTTTTGTTATTGTTGAAGTTTCCAAACTTGAAAGAGGAATTCCTTTAGGGAAGATTAAGGTTATGATATAAGTATGACGAAATAAAATTTCATTTGTTGCACTTTCACGGTTTTCTTGTAATTGCAATAGAAAGATGATAGAAAATAGAGAGGATAAAAATGAACAGGGTTTTGAGGATAGTTGGTATGCATGGGCGGAGGTAGTGGGGAGGCATGCTGGGCTGTAGCCCAGCACTACTCCCCAGCCCATATAAAAAATTAAGAAGAAAGTGTAGAGTTTTTGCCCAAATGTTAGCATTAGTCTAACTCTAGCTTGAATTTTAACCCAAGTCCAATATTCAATTATTTAAATTATATAAAAATACTAATTATTAATTACTCGTTTCACAAAATTCATAAAATGTGAATATTTTATTGTCAAATTAGATATTCTATTTATTGTATGTTTGACTAAAATTTACTTATAATTATTAAGTAAATTTTATTGTAGATAATTTGTATTGATTAAATTTAAAAGTAAATTACTTATTTTAATAGTTAGAGACACTACATATTTTTCAAAATTTAAAAGTAATTATTATTTTTTATTTCTGCGTTTGTTTTTATTTATTATTATTCATATTTATTTAAAAAAATTACTTATTTTGACCATAAAATAGATATTATGATTAAAATAAATAACTTACTATAGATTTGATATTGACAATAAAGAATATTTGATAAAATTTATCTATTTATGAAGTAATATAGATACGAGTATATTCTTGAAATCGAGCAGAAAATGGACGTGAATTAAATTTAATTTCTTTAACCCTCGAAATTCTTAGTTGGCTTTTCTTACTTTGATTGAGATTCTTCACTCACTTTGAAATACAATGATATAGAAAATCGATGAAAACGCCAAATAACATTTTGAGACAATAACATATGGATTATAGTGATATATTATTGATTGCATGTTTCAATCAAGTTTCAATTGTACGGAAAGATTGGTTGTAAAAGTTATTAGAAGAGTACTTATTCAGTATTTTTAAAATTTTTCATTTGTTTATTCCTATCATGATTCAGTTAGTTTATATTTTTTAAAGTAAGCGTTTGGTAAAAAAATGTCGTATATTTTTTATTGTGAATGCCACAAGAATAGCCTCCAAAACCGATTTCTTGTGGCCTAAGTTCATTAAAAAAAAATTTAAGTTTCAGCCTATCCTAACATCATTTTCTGGCTCCGCCCTTGTTGGTATGGGTCAGGTGGGATGAATATGTATATTTAATTTTATAACATAATTATTAATATTTAAAATTTCAGTTATCATCTAATTTTTGAAAAGAAGACTTGTATATTTTAATTATGAATTGGGAAGTTTAAAACTCTTGTTGGCTGTAATTTTCACAATCAATTTTTTTCAACAATTTGAAAGGTGAATAATACTAATTGCACATAATGAAGTTAGATAATAATTTATATACAAATGAAATGTAGAAAATAGAGGAATAGTTTTTATTATTATTTGATTGAAGAAATTATGATCCAATTATGTTTCACTATATTATGTCTATATAAATTATTATGTACATGTAGCACAATTGAATTAACATCGGGAAGTCTAAAAATAACAATTTATATCTTTTTTCATGAGAGAGAGAGAAGAGAGAGAGAGAGAGAGAGAGAGAGATCAATCCTTGAACTATTGATGTCGGTTGTGAAGACTACAATCCTTATTTAACTAGGACGAGGTGAATCGGTAATTTACTTCATTTGAAAGAGCTGTAATATAATAAAGAACTAATGCATCTTTTGCCAAACTATAAAATCAGATTGCAGGCTTTAAGAAACTAGGAAAGCGTTGCATTCAGCATGAGAGAGGCGAAGAAGGTTCACTTACTTGTGAATGTTTACACAAGTACGTTAATAAAATAAAATAATTATAAAAATATTGTGAGATGTTTTTCACTAAGAAAACATCGTTTAAAAAGTGTAACACGGTATATTACATGTATGTCATTCAGTTTTCCACTATTGACACCCTATTCCCATTGGCCTGCCGCCATCATGCCCAGTCCTCGCATGACATATTGTGTTATACTCATCAGTCGTCGCATGTCAACCAACACCAACCCATTCACCAACATTACCCACTACCACCATCATTACAACCCTTGACAATTGACTTTTTCAAAACATGTTGCCTTCGACATGTACAACATCACTGATGTTGCAACTACCACCCTAGCCACCAACATCTATTGGCATCACAAAGCTCAAATCGAGTCATAAATCATCGACACTGCTATCATCTATTTTTTTCACTAGATGTCCATTAACCAACGCCACCTCTCCATTTGCTATACATAAAAGTGTCAAAAACCATTTTGTTGTTTCGTTAGGCCGCATCCTCCATAGCATAAGAAACAATATTTTTAAAAATAAAAACAATGGTTGATGTATTTTAAATTATGAAAATATAGATGTATTTTGTAGTACGATATTTTGCACTTTGTAAAATTATATTCACAATGTACTAGATGGAATTATCCCCCCCCCCCTCCCTCCACCACTTAATATTGTGATCGATTTCATGAAAATTTAATGTATCGAACATCATCTCTAATTATGACAATACGTGTAATTTAATAAATATAGATGGTCCGGCAGGTGCCATAAAATTTGTCAACATCATGCTTAATTGGCATTTTTGTGGTATTAATTGGGTTGGACACGAAATTTGGCTGGACTTGACATTGAAGTTGAAGGACCACTTGTGGAAAGGGTGTGTTTCTCGACTGTTCACACCGTAGCCACTACCCTCATTAAGTAATTTTTCCTTTTAAAACAATTAAAATATTGTATTATTATTAATAAACATTAATTAAATCTTGACCAAATTGATAGCCTCATCACAATAACAAATAATTGTAACTACTTTCTTTCAACTAACTTAATTTTCGATCAATATATGCAAACACAGTTGTACAAAAAAAATCATTTGACGGTGCCAACTAAAGTTAGCAAGATAATGACACAATTATAGTGATTGGTGATATAACCCATTTTAGAGGAATTGGATTTTCTAAAAGAAGATGAAGAGGAAGGGGACATAATTGTCCAAATTAAAAGTTCAATGACCTTAGTGCAAATAAGTTTAAACTTTAGTTTTCGTGAGTGAACTTTGTTTTGCTGACTTGATTGAACATGTGGAGATTTCATTAATTTTATTGGCAACATCACCGGCTCTTTTAAGTGGTTGAGCCGAGGAACAAAATTTGCTCAAAAATTAAAGTGCAACGTTAAGATTGCTCCGTATTAAAGTTAAATATCTAAATTATAAGCGATAATAAAGCTTAACAACCACATGTATCAAATAAGAAATTGTCAATACATAATTTTTATCCATAGATCACTATTTTGCAATATATATAAGTCCAGTGCAGTATTAATATTATAATTCGATTCAAATATGCCCTACACATTATTCAATTAATAAAACATTCACATAAATATCTTATTGCAGTGATATGTAAATAACTAGACGAATATGAGAATCAAAGAGTCTTGAATAGATAAATTTTGAACTACTTATTGTTTTGTAATTATGTTGTTCATTGAACTTGCGGAATCTTTTCTGCGAAACCGTATTGACGTCTTCAACACACACACACACACACACACACACACACACACACACACACACACACACACCCGCCCCGTTTTATTGAATTCAAATATAGAAAAAATATTCTAACTCATCATTCATAAATAAGCAACAATCATGTTTGTTTTCCTAAAACTTTTTAATATTATGTGCTTTAAAAATTATCTCTAATTAGAAAGAAAATGATCATCGAGAAGGTCAGTTTAGGCAAAGGAATGTTGCACTTATTGTACGATCATGTAGATTACTTTAAAACTTGCTACAATCTGAAAATGTTGCATTTGAATAATAATACATTCACAACAATACAAAGAGTAGAACTAAGTAAAATTACTTTCAGCTTCAATTAATTAGCAGAGTTTATCTTGATTAAGAAAGTAATATGCCCCACTCAAATTTGTCTTTGTAGCCAAGACAATTTGGAAAAACAAGTCAATCTTCTGACTTGATAAAAAGGTCCAAAAAGTAGTTCTTTTCATATGAGTAAGACCCTGAAATGTAGAAGAGCAAGAAATTTTTTAGCTAAATAATTTATTTTACATTTTTTGATCCCTACTTATGATTTCTCTCATAATTTTCTTTAGTCAACTGAAAGGCGTTCATCGTCAAGCTTGCTGTGTTGTGGATACGGTGGGCGTCTGAGAAGGAATTTTGAGACAGAAAAATCAAGAAAATTAAGAGGATTTTACTTTAGATCTGGGGTCACGAGAGTTGTGAGGGGTATTATATTGGTTCATTTCATATAGACACTTAAGCTTGTTCTTTTTGCTTGCACAATATTAAAAAGAAAAAAGAAATCTTGAGGTTTTCTTTGGATTTTAGCCTTGTTTTCTTGTTCTGTAGAAGTATTTGAGTTTTTGGAGGGTTACTTGATACTTAATGGGGATTTGCTTGAGCAACCAAATCAAGGCTGAGAGCCCTTTTCATACTGGTAAAGTTGTTTTTTGAATAATGTCTTGCTCTATGTTATTGTTTCAGTTTTTGGAATATGGGAAAGCTTCACCTCTGTTTAGGGTCCGTTTGGCGGGGCTTTTGAAAATGCTTGCTCTTAATCTTGTATGGATAATTTTCTGGAAGTGCTTTGTCGCGTTCAGCGGAAGGTGGTTTAAGTAGTTTCCTGACGAAATTTTTCTACAAGATGTAGAAGTCCCGTCAATTGGACCCTTAATCAATATGAACCTGTTTGTGTTTCTTTAGTTGTTTATATGAATTTTTGTTCATTTATCTTGTTAATTAGGTCATGTATCCCCTCCACTATATGTTTCTGTTCTGTGCTATAATTGCTAAGTTTTGAATATAGATGGATATATGAGCAGCAAATGAAATTACAGTTCATGTCCTCTGCATTTGCTGAGTTAAGGGTATTTTTTCTTAATTTCCTACTGAACCTGCAAGAAAGAACAATATATGACACTGTCAGTTCTTGTCTCCTGGTTCACTACATGATTTGTGCTTGAAGTATTGTTATTTTTAAGTAATTGGCAATGAACGGTGACGATTTTGAATTTTTGGAGTATAATTCTAATGTAATTAATTTTTTTGACCAAACTGGATAATATGTGTAGGTGCTATTTCATGTAAAAATGTGAGCGGAAATGGGACAGAATTAAGTAAATCAGGCAGCAAGGCCTCGTCCATACCCTCGACTCCTTGGAGTGAGGGTGAGATCTTGCAGTCCTCCAACTTGAAAAGCTTCACTTTCAGTGATCTTAAAGCAGCCACAAGAAACTTTCGCCCCGACAGTGTATTAGGGGAAGGGGGTTTTGGTTCTGTTTACAAAGGATGGGTTGACGAACACTCACTTGCAGCATCAAAGCCTGGGGCTGGGATCGTTATAGCTGTTAAGAGGCTAAACCAAGAAGGGTGGCAGGGTCACAAGGAATGGTTGGTATGTCCGATATTCACCTTAAACTTCTCAACTTTATCAAGAAGTAAGTCAATTTTGTAATTAAAAATGCTATTCTCAGTTGAAAACATGTCATGGCATGGTCAAGACTCCCATGTTCTTGGAAATTTTTGAACCATATTTGTCGCTTAATTTTTCAAAGCATATCTGTCGAATAATTTTGATTGATATGCATTTGCTTGAAGTAGGATTTGACAATTAATGTCTGCAGTTATAATATAGTGCAAACATAGTTGTACACTTTGATAATTTCCTTTTCATTGATAAGCTTAATTTTTAATTTTCAGGCAGAAATTAACTATCTTGGGCAGCTTCGCCATTCTAATCTTGTGAAATTAATTGGTTACTGTTTAGAGGATGACCACAGAGTTTTGGTTTATGAGTTCATGCCCAAGGGTAGCATGGAGAATCATCTATTCAGGAGTGAGTTCAGTGTACCCCCTTATGCGTACCATAAATAACTTAGTGAATATTGCTGACGAATTCTAGTTGACACGATGGTTTTATATTGAACTAGGAGGTTCTTACTTCCAGCCACTTTCCTGGAGCCTAAGAATGAGAATTGCTCTAGGTGCTGCAAGAGGACTTGCCTTTCTTCACAGTGCTGAGGCAAAAGTAATATATCGAGACTTCAAAACTTCCAATATCTTGCTTGATTCGGTAAGTATAATCTTTCTTGCTCTAGTTTTAACTATTTCATTTTCAGCATGGTTTATATTCATTTTAACGACTTCTGAATGGGTAAAATATAATTTTGCTTCGTGTGATTTTGATTGGCAGAACTACAATGCAAAACTTTCTGATTTTGGGTTAGCGAGGGATGGGCCAACTGGTGATAAGAGTCACGTCTCAACTCGAGTTTTGGGAACTTATGGATACGCTGCTCCTGAGTATCTATCCACAGGTACTCATGTCATGCAGTTTCCGCCCTAGAACTTTGTTTGACTAATAAGAGTTCATCAATTTACTGGTTTTTCCTTTAATTTGCATCAGATAGTGCACGCTATCCTAATAGATATTTTTCATTTTGTGCTTTTGGGGAAGGCCAGGCCATTTAACTGTCAGGAGTGATGTATACAGCTTTGGAGTGGTACTTTTAGAAATTCTGTCTGGTAAGAAAGCAATAGACAAGAATCGTCCATCGGGGGAGCACAATCTGGTTGAATGGGCAAAACCTTATCTTGTTAACAAACGTAGAATGTTGCGCATTCTTGATTCCCGTCTTGAAGGCCAGTACTCTACGGATCAAGCCTTAAAGGCAGCTACCGTTGCGCTTCAATGCTTATGCACGGAACCCAAGTTGAGGCCAAAAATGATCGAGGTCGTAACTGCTTTAGAACAGGTTCAAGAGTCGAAGAACACTTCAAAAATTGATCAGAACTGTCACATATCAAATCAACACAGCCAACATCACAAGGGACATAGGTCACACCGAAGCAGTGCTGAAGAAACTCGTGGAGTAACGGCTTATCCCAGACCTGCAGCTTCCCCACTTTACGCGTAAGAGAAGAAAGAGAGGCATGGCATAATCTTATTTGGTTTAGCATAAACTTCTTTCTGGTTAACTATATTTTGAAAGGTATGTACAGTTTTTATTGTGGCTGTATGCTTTTGTACTCGATAGGACAGGATGGCGTTCTGATTTATCATCAGCTTGCTGCTGGAAATGTTGTAGGATGCTTTTAGCATGGAAATCAAAATTTTGTCAAAAATATTTAATGCTTTATGTTTTTGAGGATGTCCATCCATGAATGTCAATAATCCTGGTTAACTGAATTGAATGTGCTAATAATTTTTTATCCAATTTCTTGTTAGAATAATGTAAGGAGCAGTTACTGGTGGGGTAACAGCTAGTTTGGTATGCTGGGAGATATCATTATTGCTATTCTACCATAGGAGAAAAGATTCAAACAAAACCAACTCTTTGCAATCACAATTCTCATAATCCTAATTTTATATTGGAAAAGATCAAATTATATTTGAAATTTGAGACAACAAACAGGTCACATACCAAAATTTTCCCACTCAAAGTGGATTAGTTGAACCATCAATTAAGCATCCACTACCACTATTCTATATCCAAACTGAAAAGCAAAGAAGAAAAAAGAATGAAGAGAAACGCAAATCGAAAAGCAAATTTGACTTATCGAAATGGGATTCGAGAAGGCAGAATGATATTTTACCGATTCCAAATAAATGAATCTAGATTCATTCACTTTCCACTCTTTTATGTGTCCCATAAAATGGAACCTTGCAATATAAACATATACATAAGGTTAATCATTTCCTAAAATCAAAGTATAATTAAAAGAATTTAAAAATGCAAGTGATGAAATTTGGCTAAGACAAGTGTTGGACACTTTCTAGTTTCTCCTTAAGATGAATTTACCTTGCATTGGTGCTAACGGTTTTCCGACAATCATCTCTCAAGATACAACGACCATACCAAGCCATAAGAGCACTCCAAATGATTTCGATCAGCGAACTCGAATGAAATTTCCTTTCTTCCATAAACATGACTTGCATGCAAAATATGATTACTTTTACAAAGTATTTTATGCAACATGACATAAAATGAATAATATGAAATTATAAATGAACGTTCAAGGGATCCTATATATAGAAGTTAAAAGGTTGTGGGTGAAGGGACATACTTCAAATTCAGCATTTTTCATGAAAAGTTGCAACCCAATTGTCGCTAGAGCGATGATTCTTACCTGTTGAATTTTGATTTCCTTCAAATATTGGACCAAATTTCTCATTCATACGAATTGGTCTTCCAACACAAAGTATATTCAAAATTCACGAAACCAGGAAATAAAGAATTCTTTACATAAAAAATATTAAGAGTCCTTCCATCCAGCCGTCTTAGCTCAGCCGGTAGAGCGCGTGGCTTTTAACCACGTGGTCGTGGGTTCGATTCCCACAGACGGCGTTTTGTGATGTACTGTCCGATGGTCTCACAAATTTACAATTTTTTTTAATATTCTTTAAATTTCATAATGAAAAAAATGTTATGTTACTTCAGATAATATAAATTTCCATTCTTTTGCTTGGAAAATTTAATCCTGGTCCAATCTTTTGATCATAACATCGATCAAACTTGGTTATTAAACTCCTATTCGGTGTTCCTATTTAGTAGATTTTCAGCAAATTTGATCCTGAATTGTGGGGCAAATAAATAAATGAAGCCTACAGACAAAACCATTTGTGTAGCTAGTCAGGATAGTTATGCTATTCACCTACTCAAGGCCCTAATGGGTCACTTGATCCACCAGATTCAAGTTGGATTTTTTTTTTTTTTTTTTTACTAAAAAACCAAAAATTATAATTGGGTGATAATGATAGTTGGGCGCTTTTTTTTTTTTTTTCAAAAAAAAGTACCAATAATGACCGAACAATTAAGAGAGTGAGATGAAATTATTTTATCATTTGTGATATTTAATTTGAAAATTCTTTAAAAATTTATTCATCATATATGTGAGACTATTTGAAATACTTTGAGAATTGTTATTTATTATATAGATGATTTTTGTGAATTTGTGATAGTGATCATATGTATGTATTTTTGTAGAATACATAATTTTTTGTAACTTTTTAATAAATTTGATTGTGCCTCCACTAGTTCCAAATGTCTGCATTCGTCACTGGACTATTCATCTAATTATTATCATGTATACCTTTAACAAGTTTGTCAAAAGATTGAATTATTGCTCCCAATAAATACACAAGACCACCATTTTTTCCATCAAATTTCTATTGAGGACAAAATAGACTTTACATCAAAATGCCACAAGTTAATTTGAAGATTTGTTCTTTGGTTTCAGCCGGTGCCTACTACAAGGCATTATTATTATTATTATTATTTTATTATTATTATTATTTTTTTTTTTTTAAAACCAAGTTTGGACCAGACAGGCTAAATTTTAGGAGTCAAGTAGGATGTTATTGATTTTACTGGAAAACATGGAGTCAATGTTGGGAATCTACTTAAACGTGCACAGCGAAAATAAAATAATTTTCGATTTTCATCAGGATTCATCTTTATGTCTAGATAAAAATTGTGATTAAAGGCATACATTTTCTAAATCTGCAAACTCTTTTGCTTTTTCTTTGTTCCAATGGTCTTGATTTGTCACCTACAGCTGTCCAATTGTCCAACCTACAACGATAATCCATATCGATCATATTTTTCACTCTACTATTAAGTCAATATAAATCGAAAACTCGTTTTCGACTTATGAGTACACTTTAACCAAGGATTTCGTTATCAACTTAAATGAATGAAATACAGATCATAATATCTTACTATCTAAGAGTGACGAATCCTTTATTGGTCATTCACAACTTTCATACGATTTTTGACATATCCGAATGATACCGTATTAGCGGCCCTTGACAGAGCAACATCCAATACCGTCAAAGCATTACTGTCTTTATATAAGGCACTATGACGACCTTAAGTCAAAGGATCAATCCCATTACGAAACGTTAGAGATTAACCACTGACACTCAGATAGTTATTCATGTGGAATCTTTAAGCGGGTCTCCAATGTTTAGTTCTATAACAAAACATCCACGTGTTCATTCAAGTGTAACCATACTTTAGCTTGTGAGATCAGTTACTTACTTCACAAGTAATAAATGTCACACATGATGATCTATCCATAATAATAATATCCGTATCTCGTTATTACTTACAACCACGGACGTTTTAAGATTCAATCATATGTAATTTGTATCTCACAATCACAACTTCCTGTGATTAACAAATTACGAAAATTTGAATTTACAGACTCTATTATTAAATTTAATTGTCTATTAATTAAATAATAGATCTATTATTAAATTGCATTAATCATATATTAAAAGTATTTATGTCCAAAGTTGATTGAACATAGGACATAACACTTACATTCAAAAACTTTTATTGATTGGTTAAGAAATAGGCTTTTCCGTATCACATGCCAATTCTTGGTGAAGAAAAATTTAGGGTAAAACTCCAAAAATCTTTGGGAATACAAAATTCCATATGCCAAAGCAAGTCAAACAAACATATATAAAGATCAAATAGTGTATAGCATAAGATTAAATAAGGTAACGGCTCATGCATTTTCTTGAATAAAGAAATGTTCATTTATTGAAGAACAATGCCAATAGTACCTTCAATGAAAAAGAGAGAACCATCAACTATATTTTGAGATTTTTTGGCCAATGGATACATAGAAGGATGATACTACATGTACATAATGATATTCATAACGATATTCACCTCCTCACATGGAAAGGGACCCACTTTGTATAAATTATATGGTATTCACTTTCCTTACATGGAGGTGATCTACTTTGAATAAAATATAATTTATAAAAAGTGGATCTCCTTTCATGTGAGGAGGTGAATACTATTATGAATATCGCATTATATGCAAGTAGCATATTCTTACATAGAATATGAAGATTTGGGACTAGTCTATTAATTATGATACAGGTTATTCTGGGGGTACGTCACCCATTACATGATGGTGTCCATTTGAGCCCCCTATTGGAGGGGCATCGATGTTCATTTTGGATGCTCTTATGTTCCTCCTAATGTATTCCAAGAATTATCCTTATGATACACATGCAATTCACTTTTCTTTGAGTTTTTTCTAATGCTATTTTAACGAAGTCAAGCTGCCTTAAATTACACATGGATTTGAGTAGGACGTTCTACAGTATAAAATTTATACGAATAATAGATAAATGCATATGCTTGTTTTAATTGTAAAAACTCAAAATATCAATGGGCCTTATTTATTGAAATTTAAAATTTAGTTGAATTTTTGATGCTGAAATACTAGGGATCTTATGGATGAAAACATGATCTTTGTCAATCCCATTGAATTTTATGCAGAGGAACCTTAATTTGTGTACTCCCAACTCATGTCCGCATTAGATACAAGGATTTTGAGACTACGTTTTGACGATCAATGTTAACGACAGCAAAGCTCAAGCCTAGATCTCTTGTTTGGAACTTCTTGTTCCATTGATTATCCTCCTAATACATTTTGGACACGTAACAACATTATCTAAAAAAAAAAGACATTTAAGGGATGGTAAAAAATTGATGATTTCCAGACAACCATCTCAATTTGACACAAGTAAATTTGTTAGAATAGTCAATAATGAAATAGCTAGTCGAGTAATTTCATGCATTTTGTCCATACAGACTTGGGCCAAGTCATTCAATTAGTGAATTTTCACGGGCAACACTATGCTAGAGGATAATGCTCGCTGTGAACACAAGAATGTAACAGTGATCTCACTATGATATAGACAGATGTACTTCAATGGTGCTTATAAATTGCTTATAAGAATGCTAAACAGAACAACTTTTACATAGTATCATAATAAATAGAGCCTGCGGGCTACATTTACTTCCTTTCCTTTTCTTGCAGCCGCTTCAGCCTCCACACTTCACGAACACAATATAAAAACTTGCAACACAACCAGCAAAAGTAGAAAAACCACACACCTCACTTTTACTTATCCTATTTTAATATTCTATCTTCAACTTTTCCCAAGAAAAAGTGGAAATTTTGAAGGTTGAAAAGTAGTGAAAACCTAGTAATAGTAAGTCTTAAATATTGGGACTTATTTATGTTTTCTTAAACCTTGAAGTTCTTGCCCATAAAGGTCTGTCCAAACTGCCAATTATCTGGTGCCACGTTCATGGAGGTGCATGACCGATGGTCACCGGACGTAACTCTAAAGGACAAAGCCTGGCCTGTAGAAGTCCCGTCAATTGGACCCTTAATCAATATGAACCTGTTTGTGTTTCTTTAGTTGTTTATATGAATTTTTGTTCATTTATCTTGTTAATTAGGTCATGTATCCCCTCCACTATATGTTTCTGTTCTGTGCTATAATTGCTAAGTTTTGAATATAGATGGATATATGAGCAGCAAATGAAATTACAGTTCATGTCCTCTGCATTTGCTGAGTTAAGGGTATTTTTTCTTAATTTCCTACTGAACCTGCAAGAAAGAACAATATATGACACTGTCAGTTCTTGTCTCCTGGTTCACTACATGATTTGTGCTTGAAGTATTGTTATTTTTAAGTAATTGGCAATGAACGGTGACGATTTTGAATTTTTGGAGTATAATTCTAATGTAATTAATTTTTTTGACCAAACTGGATAATATGTGTAGGTGCTATTTCATGTAAAAATGTGAGCGGAAATGGGACAGAATTAAGTAAATCAGGCAGCAAGGCCTCGTCCATACCCTCGACTCCTTGGAGTGAGGGTGAGATCTTGCAGTCCTCCAACTTGAAAAGCTTCACTTTCAGTGATCTTAAAGCAGCCACAAGAAACTTTCGCCCCGACAGTGTATTAGGGGAAGGGGGTTTTGGTTCTGTTTACAAAGGATGGGTTGACGAACACTCACTTGCAGCATCAAAGCCTGGGGCTGGGATCGTTATAGCTGTTAAGAGGCTAAACCAAGAAGGGTGGCAGGGTCACAAGGAATGGTTGGTATGTCCGATATTCACCTTAAACTTCTCAACTTTATCAAGAAGTAAGTCAATTTTGTAATTAAAAATGCTATTCTCAGTTGAAAACATGTCATGGCATGGTCAAGACTCCCATGTTCTTGGAAATTTTTGAACCATATTTGTCGCTTAATTTTTCAAAGCATATCTGTCGAATAATTTTGATTGATATGCATTTGCTTGAAGTAGGATTTGACAATTAATGTCTGCAGTTATAATATAGTGCAAACATAGTTGTACACTTTGATAATTTCCTTTTCATTGATAAGCTTAATTTTTAATTTTCAGGCAGAAATTAACTATCTTGGGCAGCTTCGCCATTCTAATCTTGTGAAATTAATTGGTTACTGTTTAGAGGATGACCACAGAGTTTTGGTTTATGAGTTCATGCCCAAGGGTAGCATGGAGAATCATCTATTCAGGAGTGAGTTCAGTGTACCCCCTTATGCGTACCATAAATAACTTAGTGAATATTGCTGACGAATTCTAGTTGACACGATGGTTTTATATTGAACTAGGAGGTTCTTACTTCCAGCCACTTTCCTGGAGCCTAAGAATGAGAATTGCTCTAGGTGCTGCAAGAGGACTTGCCTTTCTTCACAGTGCTGAGGCAAAAGTAATATATCGAGACTTCAAAACTTCCAATATCTTGCTTGATTCGGTAAGTATAATCTTTCTTGCTCTAGTTTTAACTATTTCATTTTCAGCATGGTTTATATTCATTTTAACGACTTCTGAATGGGTAAAATATAATTTTGCTTCGTGTGATTTTGATTGGCAGAACTACAATGCAAAACTTTCTGATTTTGGGTTAGCGAGGGATGGGCCAACTGGTGATAAGAGTCACGTCTCAACTCGAGTTTTGGGAACTTATGGATACGCTGCTCCTGAGTATCTATCCACAGGTACTCATGTCATGCAGTTTCCGCCCTAGAACTTTGTTTGACTAATAAGAGTTCATCAATTTACTGGTTTTTCCTTTAATTTGCATCAGATAGTGCACGCTATCCTAATAGATATTTTTCATTTTGTGCTTTTGGGGAAGGCCAGGCCATTTAACTGTCAGGAGTGATGTATACAGCTTTGGAGTGGTACTTTTAGAAATTCTGTCTGGTAAGAAAGCAATAGACAAGAATCGTCCATCGGGGGAGCACAATCTGGTTGAATGGGCAAAACCTTATCTTGTTAACAAACGTAGAATGTTGCGCATTCTTGATTCCCGTCTTGAAGGCCAGTACTCTACGGATCAAGCCTTAAAGGCAGCTACCGTTGCGCTTCAATGCTTATGCACGGAACCCAAGTTGAGGCCAAAAATGATCGAGGTCGTAACTGCTTTAGAACAGGTTCAAGAGTCGAAGAACACTTCAAAAATTGATCAGAACTGTCACATATCAAATCAACACAGCCAACATCACAAGGGACATAGGTCACACCGAAGCAGTGCTGAAGAAACTCGTGGAGTAACGGCTTATCCCAGACCTGCAGCTTCCCCACTTTACGCGTAAGAGAAGAAAGAGAGGCATGGCATAATCTTATTTGGTTTAGCATAAACTTCTTTCTGGTTAACTATATTTTGAAAGGTATGTACAGTTTTTATTGTGGCTATATGCTTTTGTACTCGATAGGACAGGATGGCGTTCTGATTTATCATCAGCTTGCTGCTGGAAATGTTGTAGGATGCTTTTAGCATGGAAATCAAAATTTTGTCAAAAATATTTAATGCTTTATGTTTTTGAGGATGTCCATCCATGAATGTCAATAATCCTGGTTAACTGAATTGAATGTGCTAATAATTTTTTATCCAATTTCTTGTTAGAATAATGTAAGGAGCAGTTACTGGTGGGGTAACAGCTAGTTTGGTATGCTGGGAGATATCATTATTGCTATTCTACCATAGGAGAAAAGATTCAAACAAAACCAACTCTTTGCAATCACAATTCTCATAATCCTAATTTTATATTGGAAAAGATCAAATTATATTTGAAATTTGAGACAACAAACAGGTCACATACCAAAATTTTCCCACTCAAAGTGGATTAGTTGAACCATCAATTAAGCATCCACTACCACTATTCTATATCCAAACTGAAAAGCAAAGAAGAAAAAAGAATGAAGAGAAACGCAAATCGAAAAGCAAATTTGACTTATCGAAATGGGATTCGAGAAGGCAGAATGATATTTTACCGATTCCAAATAAATGAATCTAGATTCATTCACTTTCCACTCTTTTATGTGTCCCATAAAATGGAACCTTGCAATATAAACATATACATAAGGTTAATCATTTCCTAAAATCAAAGTATAATTAAAAGAATTTAAAAATGCAAGTGATGAAATTTGGCTAAGACAAGTGTTGGACACTTTCTAGTTTCTCCTTAAGATGAATTTACCTTGCATTGGTGCTAACGGTTTTCCGACAATCATCTCTCAAGATACAACGACCATACCAAGCCATAAGAGCACTCCAAATGATTTCGATCAGCGAACTCGAATGAAATTTCCTCTCTTCCATAAACATGACTTGCATGCAAAATATGATTACTTTTACAAAGTATTTTATGCAACATGACATAAAATGAATAATATGAAATTATAAATGAACGTTCAAGGGATCCTATATATAGAAGTTAAAAGGTTGTGGGTGAAGGGACATACTTCAAATTCAGCATTTTTCATGAAAAGTTGCAACCCAATTGTCGCTAGAGCGATGATTCTTACCTGTTGAATTTTGATTTCCTTCAAATATTGGACCAAATTTCTCATTCATACGAATTGGTCTTCCAACACAAAGTATATTCAAAATTCACGAAACCAGGAAATAAAGAATTCTTTACATAAAAAATATTAAGAGTCCTTCCATCCAGCCGTCTTAGCTCAGCCGGTAGAGCGCGTGGCTTTTAACCACGTGGTCGTGGGTTCGATTCCCACAGACGGCGTTTTGTGATGTACTGTCCGATGGTCTCACAAATTTACAATTTTTTTTAATATTCTTTAAATTTCATAATGAAAAAAATGTTATGTTACTTCAGATAATATAAATTTCCATTCTTTTGCTTGGAAAATTTAATCCTGGTCCAATCTTTTGATCATAACATCGATCAAACTTGGTTATTAAACTCCTATTCGGTGTTCCTATTTAGTAGATTTTCAGCAAATTTGATCCTGAATTGTGGGGCAAATAAATAAATGAAGCCTACAGACAAAACCATTTGTGTAGCTAGTCAGGATAGTTATGCTATTCACCTACTCAAGGCCCTAATGGGTCACTTGATCCACCAGATTCAAGTTGGATTTTTTTTTTTTTTTATTACTAAAGAACCAAAAATTATAATTGGGTGATAATGATAGTTGGGCGCTTTTTTTTTTTTTTTCAAAAAAAAGTACCAATAATGACCGAACAATTAAGAGAGTGAGATGAAATTATTTTATCATTTGTGATATTTAATTTGAAAATTCTTTAAAAATTTATTCATCATATATGTGAGACTATTTGAAATACTTTGAGAATTGTTATTTATTATATAGATGATTTTTGTGAATTTATGATAGTGATCATATGTATGTATTTTTGTAGAATACATAATTTTTTTGGAACTTTTTAATAAATTTGATTGTGCCTCCATTAATTCCAAATGTCTGCGTTCGTCACTGGACTATTCATCTAATTATTATCACGTATACCTTTAACAAGTTTGTCAAAAGATCGAATTATTGCTCCCAATAAATACACAAGACCACCATTTTTTCCATCAAATTTCTATTGAGGGCAAAATAGACTTTACATCAAAATGCCACAAATTAATTTGAAGATTTGTTCTTTGGTTTCAGCCGGTGGCTACTACAAGGCATTATTATTATTATTTTTTTTTTAAACCAAGTTTGGACCAGACAGGCTAAATTTTAGGAGTCAAGTAGGATGTTATTGATTCTACCGGAAAACATGGAGTCAATGTTGGGAATCTACTTAAACGTACACAGCGGAAATAAAATAATTTTCGATTCTCACCAGGATTCATCTTTATGTTTAGATAGAAATTGTGATAAAAGTCATACATTTTCTAAATCTGCAAACTCTTTTGCTTTTTCTTTGTTCTAATGGTCTTGATTCGTCATCTACAGCTATCCAATTGTCCAACCTACAACGATAATCCATATAGAAAACAAAATTGTAGAATTATGATTTTCTTCTTGTGTTAACAAGAATAATGAATTCTCTACAAATTGAAAATCCTAACCATGTATTTATATAAGCCTAAACGGACTTAGCATGACCTGGTCTAATATTTAATTAACTCATTTAATTAAACCTGGTTCGTGAATCCAATTAATTAATTTGGACCTACAAATAAGCAACACAATTAATTAATTTATCCAACGCTTGCTAAATTAATTAATTGACAAATCATAATCTTCCAGTTCTCTTTTGTGTGCGACCCATTAGGTTCCCGATCATGATACTTAACGTCTTGAAATATTATTTTGATCTAATTAAAATACCATTTAATTTATCACCAATTCATACTTGCCGTCCCAAATTGACATCTAGCAATGTGTTAGGGCAATATATGTGATGAAAAATGCTATGTGATATGATAAAATCAAGCTTGTTCGTTTAACGTGAAATTATAATTATTTCGTCAATATGATCTGATCAATTAAGAAATATGGAAGTGTGTCAATCTCGATTATCGATCATATTTTTCACTCCACTATTAAGTCAATATAAGTCGAAAACTCGTTTTCGACTTATGAGTACACTTTAACCAAGGATTTCGTTATCGACTTAAATGAATGAAATACAAATCATAATATTTTACTATCTAAGAGTGACGAATCCTTTATTGGTCATTCACAACCTTCATACGATTTTTGACATATCCGAATGATACCGTATTAGAGGCCCTTGACAGAGTAACATCCAATACCGTCAAAACATTACTGTCTTTATATAAGGCACTAGACGACCTTAAGTCAAAGGACCAATCCCACTACTGAACGTTAGAGATTAACGACTGACACTCAAATAGTTATCCATGTGAAATTTTTAGGCGGGTCTCCAATGTTTAGTTCTATAACAAAACATCAATGTGTTCATTCAAGTGTAACCACACTTTAACTTGTGAGATCAATTACTTACTTCACAAGTAATAAATGCCACACATGATGATCTATCCGTAATAATAATATCCGTATCTCGTTATTATTTACAACCACTGACGTTTTAAGATTCAATCATATGTAATTTGTATCTCACAATCACAACTTCCTGTGATTAACAAATTATGAAAATTTGAATCTACGGATTCTATTATTTAATTTAATTGTCTATTAATTAAATAATAGATCTATTATTAAATTGCATTAATCATACATTAAAAGTATTTATATCCAAAGTTGATTGAATATAGGACATAACACTTACATTCAAAAACTTTTATTGATTGGTTAAGAAATAGGCTTTTCCGTATCACATGCCAATTCTTGGTGAAGAAAAATTTAGGGTAAAACTCCAAAAATCTTTGGGAATACAAAATTCCATATGCCAAAGCAAGTCAAACAAACATATATAAAGATCAAATAGTGTATAGCATAAGATTAAATAAGGTAACGGCTCATGCATTTTCTTGAATAAAGAAATGTTCATTTATTGAAGAACAATGCCAATAGTACCTTCAATGAAAAAGAGAGAACCATCAACTATATTTTGAGATTTTTTGGCCAATGGATACATAGAAGGATGATACTACATGTACATAATGATATTCATAACGATATTCACCTCCTCACATGGAAAGGGACCCACTTTGTATAAATTATATGGTATTCACTTTCCTTACATGGAGGTGATCTACTTTGAATAAAATATAATTTATAAAAAGTGGATCTCCTTTCATGTGAGGAGGTGAATACTATTATGAATATCGCATTATATGCAAGTAGCATATTCTTACATAGAATATGAAGATTTGGGACTAGTCTATTAATTATGATACAGGTTATTCTGGGGGTACGTCACCCATTACATGATGGTGTCCATTTGAGCCCCCTATTGGAGGGGCATCGATGTTCATTTTGGATGCTCTTATGTTCCTCCTAATGTATTCCAAGAATTATCCTTATGATACACATGCAATTCACTTTTCTTTGAGTTTTTTCTAATGCTATTTTAACGAAGTCATTTTTGGCCAATGGATACATAGAAGGATGATACTACATATACATAATGATATTCATAACGATATTCACCTCCTCACATGGAAAGGGACCCACTTTGTATAAATTATATGGTATTCACTTTCCTTACATGGAGGTGATCTACTTTGAATAAAATATAATTTATAAAAAGTGGATCTCCTTTCATGTGAGGAGATGAATACTATTATGAATATCGCATTATATGCAAGTAGCATATTCTTACATAGAATATGAAGATTTGGAACTAGTCTATTAATTATGATACAGGTTATTCTGGGGGTACGTCACCCATTACATGATGGTGTCCATTTGAGCCCCCTATTGGAGGGGCATCGATGTTCATTTTGGATGCTCTTATGTTCCTCCTAATGTATTCCAAGAATTATCCTTATGATACACATGCAATTCACTTTTCTTTGAGTTTTTTCTAATGCTATTTTAACGAAGTCAAGCTGCCTTAAATTACACATGGATTTGAGTAGGACGTTCTACAGTATAAAATTTATACGAATAATAGATAAATGCATATGCTTGTTTTAATTGTAAAAACTCAAAATATCAATGGGCCTTATTTATTGAAATTTAAAATTTAGTTGAATTTTTGATGCTGAAATACTAGGGATCTTATGGATGAAAACATGATCTTTGTCAATCCCATTGAATTTTATGCAGAGGAACCTTAATTTGTGTACTCCCAACTCATGTCCGCATTAGATACAAGGATTTTGAGACTACGTTTTGACGATCAATGTTAACGACAGCAAAGCTCAAGCCTAGATCTCTTGTTTGGAACTTCTTGTTCCATTGATTATCCTCCTAATACATTTTGGACACGTAACAACATTATCTAAAAAAAAAAGACATTTAAGGGATGGTAAAAAATTGATGATTTCCAGACAACCATCTCAATTTGACACAAGTAATTTTGTTAGAATAGTCAATAATGAAATAGCTAGTCGAGTAATTTCATGTATTTTGTCCATACAGACTTGGGCCAAGTCATTCAATTAGTGAATTTTCACGGGCAACACTATGCTAGAGGATAATGCTCGCTGTGAACACAAGAATGTAACAGTGATCTCACTATGATATAGACAGATGTACTTCAATGGTGCTTATAAATTGCTTATAAGAATGCTAAACAGAACAACTTTTACATAGTATCATAATAAATAGAGCCTGCGGGCTACATTTACTTCCTTTCCTTTTCTTGCAGCCGCTTCAGCCTCCACACTTCACGAACACAATATAAAAACTTGCAACACAACCAGCAAAAGTAGAAAAACCACACACCTCACTTTTACTTATCCTATTTTAATATTCTATCTTCAACTTTTCCCAAGAAAAAGTGGGAATTTTGAAGGTTGAAAAGTAGTGAAAACCTAGTAATAGTAAGTCTTAAATATTGGGACTTATTTATGTTTTCTTAAACCTTGAAGTTCTTGCCCATAAAGGTCTGTCCAAACTGCCAATTATCTGGTGCCACGTTCATGGAGGTGCATGACCGATGGTCACCGGACGTAACTCTAAAGGACAAAGCCTGGCCAACAAGAATTGCATTGGATTGCCAGTTTTGCCCCCAGTTTCGGCTCATTGGCAACCATTGGGTGTTCGTGCCTTTTATGCTCACGCGCACAATATCCCCAGCACCCGCGACGTTGGTGATCATAAGTAGATTGAAGTAACGGAAACCGTTGATTGTGAATCTGATTCCTCCTTGCTTCCTACAAGGTACCCTGTAAAATTAAATAGAAATAGTTAATTCATTAATTACTGCTAAAGATTAACGATTCAAAACTTTAGGTTGACCGGTGAATCCGGTAGCGTGGGAATTTTGAAGGTTGAAAAGTAGTGAAAACCTATTAATAGTAAGTCTTAAATATTGGGACTTATTTATGTTTTCTTAAACCTTGAAGTTCTTGCCCATAAAGGTCTGTCCAAACTGCCAATTAGCTGGTGCCACGTTCATGGAGGTGCATGACCGATGGTCACCGGACGTAACTCTAAAGGACAAAGCCTGGCCCACAAGAATTGCATTGGATTGCCAGTTTTGCCCCCAGTTTCGGCTCATTGGCAACCATTGGGTGTTCGTGCCTTTTATGCTAACGCGCACAATATCCCCAGCACCCGCGACGTTGGTGATCATAAGTAGATTGAAGTAACGGAAACCGTTGATTGTGAATCTGATTCCCCCTTGCTTCCTACAAGGTACCCTGTAAAATTAAATAGAAATAGTTAATTCATTAATTACTGCTAAAGATTAACGATTCAAAACTTTAGGTTGACCGGTGAATCCGGTAGCGTGGTTCATTAAATACGGTGCCCGCCTTTATCGGATAGGCTCAACAAGAATATGGGACTACGTGAGACTTGTCGAAAGAATTTATGAATACGAGGCACTACTCACATTTCCTGGTAACCGTAGGAATACAATATTACTATAATGCCCATCGCTGAACTTTAATTTTACACTTCAAGTCATTTCCTTCTCAAAATCTGGATTGACATAATTGCCTTCCAAATGAGAGGCCTAGGAATAAGGGACCTACGACTTCAATTGGTAATTAGTATAGAACATGAGGGCATTTTCGTCCTTTTAAAATAATAAAAATGTAAAATAGACATTAAAATTATTTCTTAAAAAATGTGTAAGTGCGTCAAAATTGTAGGCACAACAAACGATGAAATCAGATTCATGCCAGCAAAAAGTCAGTTCGTTGCAATTCGTACGACGATACGACTTTAATAACCTCGGCAAAACACATATAACTATTAAAACCTTAATAAACGCTAAATGACCCTTAAAACCTTAGTAAATGCTAAAATGACCTTAATAATGTGAAAATAACGGACCCATTGATTTGACACTGACGAAAATCTGATCCACTAAAGCCACTGGTCGTTTGATTTACCATTTCCAAGACAACGAATTAATGAAAATTTATCAAATTAAAGGGCGTAAATGAAAATGGGGGTGTTACCGGCGGAAGTTGACGGGGACGATGCCAGCGCGATACTCGGCGATCTTGAGGAACATTGGCATGGCGAGATCGAAGTGGGTTCTCGGAGGGTTGCACCACCCGCCATTATTACTCGCCAAAGCAAAGTTAGGAGGGCAGAAATTAGTAGCGGTAACAAAAATTGATGGGTTACCCGGGTTGCACCACTTGGGGTCCTGCCCAACGTCACATTTTATCTCAAAGCAAGCCCCACAGCTCAGTCCATTGTTGAACAGCGCCGTGCTTAGAGCTGCGGTGTTCACTCCGTATCCTTGGATGACCCTTAAAACCTTAGTAAATGCTAAAATGACTTTAATAATGTGAAAATAACGGACCCATTGATTTGACACTGACGAAAATCTGATCCACTAAAGCCACTGGTCGTTTGATTTACCATTTCCAAGACAACGAATTAATGAAAATTTATCAAATTAAAGGGCGTAAATGAAAATGGGGGTGTTACCGGCGGAAGTTGACGGGGACGATGCCAGCGCGATACTCGGCGATCTTGAGGAACATTGGCATGGCGAGATCGAAGTGGGTTCTCGGAGGGTTGCACCACCCGCCATTATTACTCGCCAAAGCAAAGTTAGGAGGGCAGAAATTAGTAGCGGTAACAAAAATTGATGGGTTACCCGGGTTGCACCACTTGGGGTCCTGCCCAACGTCACATTTTATCTCAAAGCAAGCCCCACAGCTCAGTCCATTGTTGAACAGCGCCGTGCTTAGAGCTGCGGTGTTCACTCCGTATCCTTGGCTGTACAGATTCCCATACCCACAAGCACCGCCTGAGGTAATATTTCAAACAAGACGTTAATAAAAAGATTTATCGGCTGTCCAAATGTAGTCAGAAGAGATTATAGTTACCCATGGTGCCAGAGGCGTCACTGCCGCCGTAGAAAGTGGCGTGAGCGGGCTGCCAGGGGCCGCCGGTGTAAGCTCCCCGGATTTTAGCGCTAGTAGCCGTCAGTAAATAGAGGAGACTGGCAATGCAGAGTAATGAACTAACTGAAGCCATTTTTTTTCCTGCCCACACTCAATATCTGAGAAATTATAATCTGTAACTTCAGTCTGGACAGAGTAGAGTGTGGCTAGCTAGTGTATTTATGGAGGGAGGAAGAAGTGGGGGGTTTGGGGGCGAATGAAAATAGAGGAGGAGGATGGGGGCGGTACTTAAGGAGGTCACATGGGCAGAGGCCTGTAATATCTCTCCGTAATAAATGTTTCATTTTTATTTTATTTTAGTATTTCTTTTAATAATTCTTCTTTTTTAATCATATCTAATTAAAATTCTGATTGCACTACATGTACATAACGATTTGTATAAACATGATGTAATGAGATATGAAAAAAAAAAAAAACAAAAAAACCTCCATCCTCTTTTTAACACATAATCTGTATTTAAATCATTGAATAACTCTATTATGTACAAATATTATTATTCTTAAAATTTTAGGGCAAAAAAAAAGTCCACCTAGCACTTAGGTAAGCACAACAAGACGGAAAAGACTCACGTATTTTTATTTAATTAGCCTCCGTTTAATTCTTATTCTTTGGTCACAAAAATAAAAAAATATGACAATTATCCATCATATCAAGTCGCTTTATTTGACTTTTTATTTTTTGTGTGGGTCCCGTAACGACTAAATTTTTCATTCTCATTCTTATAAAAATGGGTACCAAACAAAGCTTTAGTGTTATTTTCTTGTTTTGAAGTCTACTCTAACAAAATATTCAGTAATTGTTAAAATGCAAAAAGAAAATAAGTCCCAAAAAAAAAATAATAATAAATTACACTAGCCCAAATCCAGACTACGAGCAATACTATTGTTTTTCATTTGATGTACTATTTATTATTTTAAGTCTATGCTTTTGTTGAAAATTTGAAAAATATGATGAAGATCTGATAAATTTTCAAGGTATGCGTTATTTTATATATCTATTGGTCTAAATTAATTAAAATAATTTTAAAAATAAGAAACGTCCTATTATACTTAGACTTGTGATATTTGAAACTTTCATGTCTTACGCTTTTAGAATATTGTAGATAATGAAGTCCATCATACAAAATTTCCAATTCAACATGCTAAAAATCCTAAAAATTTCACATATTAAATGGTTCAATTCTGCTACATCAACTTTGAGATTTCTGTGAGGTGGAAGTTTTTTATGCATTGATTTTAGGGAAAATTGTAGTAGAAGTCCCAAACCTGTAAAATATTAGCAGACTTTTTTCAAATATTTAATTTGTAGCAACCGTTATTTCAAACCTTTCGAAACGTTGCGGCGAAAGCCCTTTTGGACGGTTTTCATCCAAATGTCTATTAGTTAACTAAAAAATTTGATTTTGACCATATTTTTAATATTTTTGAAAGGGTAAATTAGTAACTTTCTATTTATTACATTAAAATAAGTTAGAAATTAAATAAAAAAATAAGAAATAAGGGAAAAAAAAAAAAAAACGCAACCGTCTTCTTCCTCTCATCCCACCCCCACTCCCAAAATCACCATCACCACCTCCACCTCCACCTACATCCCCAACCATAAAAACCCAAATCAAAATATAACTCACAGATCCTCGTCCCTGTTTCTTCAAGAGCTGCTCGTTCTTCCCTCAATGTTGCGAGAGGTTCCAATTTGTTGTGCACGTACATGCTTCAGTGCCTTCACTCCAAGTGGGTTGCCCTTAATCTGCATCACGAGTTAGAACGTGAATGCGTGGCCAATTAAGTAACAAGCTCAATAGTTGAGATTCAATTAACTTCTTACCGGTGAACAGGTTCCTAGATATATGTGGCAAATAGGGTAATTATGAGGATAGCAACTGGAATTGTCTTCACAACATGTGACACCCTCGAGAGGGCAACATCCCCATATAAAGCACGAGCCAAGTAATTCCTCGAGACAGCAGCAAGTATTGCTCTCAAGGCATACAGAAAACTCATCACAAATATTGTCAGGCTTGGATGGAGATGGACCAAGGCAGGGACGGATCCAGAATTGGATCCACGATCGGGCTACTACGCGAAATTTTTATTTTTTTTTACACATAAAAAACTGAATTTTTACCCAAAAAAAAATAAAAAATACCTTAAAAAAAACCTCTTGGACCTGGGGGGAGGGCTACAGCCCAGCCCAACCCCCCCTAAATCAGTCTCTGGACCGAGGTTTGGATTGGGTACGATGGCTCCATGGGTATTCCACGTAGACCAAATTTGGCAGCCACATTACGATGCATCCTATCTAGCCCTTTTCTCCCCAATATTCACCCCACGAGTTTCTAATAATTTGGACTTGTGGGTTACATTTTGACTTGGATTTTTATGGCTAAGGAAGGAGGTGGAGGTGGAGGTGGAGGTGGAGGTGGTGGTGGTGGTGGCGATGATGATTTTGGGGGTGGGGGTGAGAGGAAGAAGACGATTGTTTTTTTTTTAATTTATTATTTTTTTTAAATTTAATTTCTAACTTATTTTAATGTACTAAATGAAAATTTACTATTTTACCCTTTAAAAAATATTTAAAATATGGTGAAAATCAAATTTTTTAGTTAACTAACATATATTTGGATGAAAATCGTCAAAAAGGACCTTCGTCGCAATGTTTCGAAAGGTTTGGAGTGACGGTTGCAATAAATTCAAAGTTTGGAAAAAATCTGCTAATGTTTTAAAGATTTGATGTCTCTACTACAAATTTCTGTTGATTTTAACACTACTTTTTGGAATCAATGATCAGATCTCATCCACATGGAGGAATGTCATCCAAAATGTAAGGGGACATGTATAAGTAGACTAATCCTAAATGGTTAATGAATAGAATTATTTGCAAAGATAAAAACTCAAGCGATAATTTTATAAAATTGAAATATTTTGTATCGTGACCTTGTGCTTTGAAGGTGGCAATTAATATAAGGCTCCGTTTGATAGGCAAGAATTTCCATGGAAAATGGAAATTAATTTCCATCTTCCACATTTGAGTGTGTTTGATAGGCAAGAATTTCCATGGAATTAATTTTCCATGCTGCCCTCCAACGCACCTATTTTCCTTGAAATCATTAAATTGGTTTTCCCACCTATACAAAACAAAACTAAATAAATACCAAAATATAGATTATTTTTGGATCTTTTTTTTTTTTTTTTTCAATGGAAACAAATTCTATCCCCAATATTAGTAAATTTTATCCATTTCATTGACAATTTTCGTGTAAAATAAAGCCAAATGAACACAAAAAGCCTTTTATTTCAACGTTTTCCACGTGAAAAATTATATCAATCAAACACAATAAATTGAGAATTCCCAAGAAAATAATTTATAGGCAATTTAATTCTCTGAAAATCGTTTTCTTTCCACCCAAATTCTATCTTTGCAATCAAACAGACCCTAGTAGTAAGTTGTTCCTATACCACTAAAGTAGCTGATAAACACGGATATTTAAAAGCATTGAAATGTTTATTTAAATTTCAAAAGTACGAACGAAAATTAGGAAGCCACAACCATAAAAGTAACTAAAATAGAAACCCAATATTTTAGGTCGGTGCACTTCCAATACTTTTTAGATATAACGCGTTTGAATAGGAAATCAGAAGAAATGTTATAAGTTGATATAATATTTATTTGCATATACTGTCATAAATTCTGTACCAATGAATCAAACCATCTCACGAGATCTAGATTTAGAAGTTGCATCATTAGAGAATTTATTTTTTTTAATTTTGTTTTTCGATGAATGTTATGTGAAAGAAATTTATGGGTGATTTATAATAGGACCAAATGCATCGAACTAAATTGTTTTTGACCTAACTCCAAAAATCCCATAGAAGCTTTATAGCTATGATGTTTTTTATTTAGAAACATGAGCATATGTCACTTTTCCTTATATATTCTTCGATGTTTTCTTAATTTGCTTATAAAGTATCTCTGTCTCAAGCATGATATTTCATATTAGTAAATAAGACTTTATTTGACTTTTTGGTATATTTTTTTTAGCTTGGACATTACGTGAAAGAAATGCTTTTGGCGATTTACAAAGAGACTGAATGCATTTTTACTCAAAAATCTTATTGGACAAATAATTTATAAAAGCCGATTTGGCTATCACCGATTCATCGAATTTTTTTCGATAAAAGGTTAATTTCCATTTCAAGAGAAACAAAGAATTAATAAAAAGTGTCATGAATTATAAATAGCATGAAATTGACAAGACGTCCAATTACTTTCTAAATTCTTTGAGATTTTCTTGATTCATGTCTCTCCATCTCAAGCAAGTAGTTAGGTAACAAGACAAAAATTATCAATAATACTTATTTTTATCAATCAAAATGCTCTAACTTGATGTAATTGATACCCAACAATTGCCAAGTAAAGAAAAATAATTAAAAATGGTCATAATCTCTCTTCGATGGCAAAACTCAATGAAATCGAAATTGGTGTTGAATAATTAATCGCGTTATAAAAGGTGTGACAACACATCTGAAAAAAGACCTGACTACTCTTATGTTGGGAAAGCAAGTCATTGGTCCCAACAGCTTCCTTAAATTCATTTTTTTAAAGTTAATTTTCTAAATAAGGATCAAGAAAATACCAAAAATGAAAAAAAACATTCACGATTGTGGACCGTTATAATTGATTTTTTTATTTATTCTTATCTCTTTTGTGGTCGTCCCATCTAATAACATGTGATGATGCCTCTATTTCCTTTTCTCTATTTGGGGAACATGTATTAAACTAAACTATTCATGACGTTAACTCAAGTTAATTTGTTTTACTTTTGATTAAGTTTATTTTCAAATGATTATGTTACGGCTTTACCTACAAGATACTACACGACAGTCAGCTAAATAAAAAGTAAGTTAAAGAACATGCAAGGTTAGCTTTCCGTTTCATATCGCCTTTTCCACAAGTGGCTTTCGAGGAGATCTGGCATGTCAATGGACATCTCATTTGGAATGTTGTTATCCGAGCGAGGCATCACCTATCTGCTATAGTATATTTTCAAACTGATGGGCTTCGTTCGTAGGCCTTGCTTCTATCAAGTTATACCATACACTTAATTAATTGATGTGATAATTATGCAACAATGTGACTGCCAAATAACAATACATCCTATGTTTAGGCTAGGGAGGCCACAAGCCTATGACTACTCTAGATGACAC